TCAAGTCAGTAATCAAGCTAATGTACATCTCCTCATGTTCATAATATTCTTCATTTGCTAAATACGGTATAAGGTTCCGTTTCTCCCGTTGTACGTTACGTATTATTTCACTATGAGCTTGCTTATAGTCAATCCAGTAGTCTTCTACACATTTCAGACGAGCTTCTACGTAAGTGCGGGTTAATCTGATCTTTGGGCTCTTCTTTAAATTGATATGAGTCTTCTGCAAAGTACGAGCAATAATTTCCACAATATTGCATGCTTTATCTACTTCTGTAGCCATTGTTGTTTAATGAAACGTAAATCTTCACAAAGCAATGAATTGAATTTAGTTACTATGTATAATTGTATTCGTTTAAAATATCTAATTTTTCTTTCCGATTTTTACAATGACATTATGTGTCACTCTTACAAAATGTACTCCTCCATTTATCGGACGCTGCTATCCGGCTCGATTATGGACCACTAAGTATTGTTTTATTATACGACAAAATAAAAAAATACGTGTCTAATATTTTTTCATTACCTAACTTACGGACTAATTTTATTTTTAATTTTCATACCCTGTCATCATCCCCATTCTTTGTAAAATGACAGAGACGGCACAATATTTAAGTATAATTTGAAATTGAGTAACCTTTCAGTATTCGGGCGTTAGACTCTTTGATTGACTACAAACCGAACTGAAGTATGTCTCGGTAAGTTTTGACGCTTTAATCGCATCCTCGGTCGGGCATCGGTTCTAGCGAGTCCCATGTGTGTGCTTACTCTTAAAACCAATCTCAATGTCAATGCAATTTCAATCCAATAAAATCTCAATAATGATTCAATGTCAACACTATACAACCACAATCGTAGCTGTTACAATAGCATTCAGAGTACGGAATGTAAAGACAAACTCAATACCATTTAGTTCATTCAATATCCGCGCAATACGAATGCAATGGGCGCTAGTGTTGCAACTCAAGAGTACGACACAATGTCAATGTTGTTCGATCGGAATTGGATTCAAGAGTAAGCGCCCTGTAGTGGTCTGATCCCTTTAACCATTTTGTTCTGTTATTTCTCCAGGTTTCTCGAAATGCCAATAGTGGTCCAAGGCTGTGAAGATGCCATAGTAGAAGCTCTGACCCCGGAGTGTCTGCCGCACGTACTACGCTGGGCGGCACAGCCACACGCCAGCCACTGGGTGCACAGGTATCTGCTCGCCTCCTTTTGATCGTAGCGTGATGTTTTATAGCCTACTAGCTTTTACCCGCGGCTTCGCTCGCGTCACAAAAGGATAAAAAGTAGCCTATGTGACATATACCAATACACACAGCGCCATCTATACCAATACTTTTGTTTTCCCTCGGGAACATCAATTTTTTCCGGGATAAAAAGTACCCTATTATTTAATCCGGACTTCTAACTTTACGTCTGCAAAAATTCAAAGCAATCGGTTTAGTAGTTACGGCGTGAAAGCGAAACAAACAAACAAACTCACTTTCCGATTTATAATATTAGTAAGGATAGCCTTCCTTGATAAATGGACTATATAACTCAAAAAGAATTATTCAAATCGGACCAGGCGTTTCGGAGATAAGGGCGTTTGATTAAACATATTCTTCAGCTTTGTAATGTTGAATGTGCTAAGTAGAATATTATAATTTACTGATATACTACGCCGTAGAATATTCTCGTAGCAAACAGTTACGGCGTAGCAACGTTAAGTATGCTACGCCGTAGACCAGTCGCAATTCGTAGCAAAGTGCTACGTCGTAGGCGAGGCGTAGTATTGTTCTGGTAGAGTGTAGCACGCTTGAATATATTGTTTTTTATTCAAAGATTTTACTCAATTTTAAGTTACAATCTTTATGTTTTTAAGTATGTTAATAAATTAAGTTGTAAATGTCCTATCTCTGTCATTTTACAAAGATTTGTAGAGACAGAATTAGGTAGTTTCCCATGTTTCTAGCTATAAATAGTTTCAACTTTTCAATGCAATAAATAATTAAAAAATAATCATATTCTCATCCGTTGATTTGACAATTTACTTATTTTTGGACTTTTTTTGCTAATTTTAAGGAAATAAGTACGCTGTTTGACGTAGAAGTATGATGAAGTCATAAGTTGTGATCCAATACAAAATTCATAGAAAATTATCGTTTTGACATTTCAATGAAAGTATTGAGTTTGACTAGGTAGTTAGATTCATTGTCAACTACCGTATTATTGTTAAGAGTGTCTTAAAATTGAGAGATGTTTGAGTATTTGAGCTGTAATAGTTTTTCCTATAAATGGACAAGCTCGCCACAACTTCCCGAAACTGTTGTGTGAGCAATAGTGACTTATGGTCGTTTTTGCCAACTACTCTTAAACCATCTCAATAAGAGTTACTTAGCATGACGTAGAATATAAATTAATCCGTTACTTGTCCTGTTAGGAGACGCTTTTAGGTTGGTGAAAATGTCACGTATCAGGTTTCTTGGAATTTAAAAAGAGATTGTCTAGTATGTATGTGTATGTGGTAATGGAAGTGAACGATGTGGTCGCAGACAAGCGATGCGCTACCTGCGCGACGAGTTCCCGACGATAATGTCGTCGGGCAGCTGCGGGCGCGTGCCGGGCGGCGCGCTGGGCGAGGCGCTGGCGTCCCCGTTCCTGCAGGCCAGCGAGGCCGTGGCGCTGCGCGGCGTGCTGCGCTGGGCGGCGGCGGCGCGCGCGCCGCGCCCGCCTGGCCGCGCGCGCCCGCGCCCACGCGCCGCGCGCGCCGCGACGCCACCGACGCCGCGCTGCGCGACGCGCTCGCCCCGCTGGCGCCGCTGCTGCGTCTCGAGCATCTGCCGCCAGACCACGACCTCTTGCAGCAGGTCGGTTGAGACCGCCGGCTCACTCACGTAACTGTTTCACTAGGAACTCGGCTCAGTACCGCGGGAATGCTACTCACGAGTATAAGCCTCTAGCATGGTTTGAAACTAGTCGAGTTTCTTGTCAAACAGTTCCGTGAGTAAGCCGAAAACATATTTAGTATACCTGTGTGTTTAAAGTTTTGTCTTAAGCGAAAAATGTTTTTCTGCACGCTTTGTAGAATTTTGTCCACAGTTAATAACTTTAACCAAGTTATTCATATCTTTATTTGCATTCCATAATGTTTCTTAAGATATTTATGTACATTGGCTTAAAGCTTCATCACACATATTTTATAGCATAGTATGTTAAATGTTAGTCCACCGTTGGCAATATTTTGAAAACAGTAAAATTGAATTGAAATTGTTCGACAAATCCTAATAATGAACATACATTCATACAATGATTGATGATATACGAAAAAACAATTGCCCACACACAGTAACTTTAGAATTTTCTAAATTTACACCAATACATTGTATAAACATACATAAAAAACATTTTTTTCTATATCTACTTTAACTTTTGTTCTTTTCCTTTAATTAGGTAATTTACAGATCTGGAAGCTATTATTCTTAAGAGTGTTATATAAATAAAGAAAGGATCGAGTCAGTCCCGACACAAGTATTGAATAATAACTTACTGGGACTGCCTCAATGTTAAACAGATATTGTAATTCTTATAATAATAATAAAGTCAAAGTCAAAGCATTTATTTCAATTAAACCATAGTTTGGTACTTTTGAAACGTCAACAAATACAAAATAAATAATAGTCTGTCAGTCAGTCCGTCAGTGAAACTAGGTGAAGCTAGGTAAATAATTTGAATCGATTTATTTAGTCCTTAGTCTAGCATTGGACATGTGTTGAAAAGTGTGTGGTTCGATTCCCAGGTGGTGCGGCGCGGCATAGTGTCGGCGGTGGGGGGCGAGGGCGCGGGCGCGGCGGACGCCTGGCTCGCGCGGGGCTCCTACAGGCCGCCGCGCTGCTTCCTGCCTTATTTGGATGAAATTAAGGTTCAATTTTATTTGAATGACTTAGTTGTAACATAATGTCTTTTGATTCCTTGACAGCTGAACTTTTAAGTATTTTCAACCGATTCTGTGAATTACTCGAACTAATTGTATCGTAAGAATAATCGTAAGAAAGACTGCCTCGTTTGCCGAGTGGTTGCAATTGCGAGTGCCGGGCAAGGGGTCTCGGGTTCGATTCCCGGGTCGGGCAAAGGATACTGCGTTTTAAAAATCTCAGTGGTAGCAGCGGAGTCTGGACATGAGACCGGTATATGGCAATAGGCTCACCCCTTATTACATGGGATTCATAACATAAATAGTGAACAATGGGTGTTACATTATATAGTGCCGTATGAGCATGCTGCATGTATGAGCTTATTGCTATCTACCGGATACAATTCCACACTCTGAGCTACTACAGAGATTTTTTTAAAACCCTGTTGTATTTTGCCCGACTCGGGAATCTAAACCGAGTCCCCTTGCCCGGCAGTCGCACTTGCGACCACTATGCCATTGAGGCAGATTTTTTATTAATTTTGTTTTAATTTGTTCCAGGCGTTGCTAGAGGACCAGGCGGTGCCCGAGGCGGAGTTGGCTCGCGCTCGACGCGAACGATATCTGCATCGGATACCCGATACACTGTACATGGTAAGCACATATATACCTATGTAGGGGGACAGAGGGGGGAGGGGGATAGATGGGATTGTAGTCTTTGATATTAGTTGTTTATTTATTTACATTAAAATGAAAGTTTACAGCAAGAGCCAAAATACTTACATTCTAGGATATAAAAAAGAAACTTAAACCTATTACAATATTAATCACTTAGATAGTTCCTATATTATTCAGATTTATGTTTAAATACTTCTGTATGACATACGACTTATCGTGGAATTTCTACTTGTCCTTTTAGAGGCGATTGAGAGATTCATAAACATTTTTAGGGGGATTTGGTTTTATTTATACGTTTTTATTCGGGGGTGGAGTGGTAATAAATATTTTTAGTTTTGTAGCGAGAGAGATATAGGTTAAATGTTCACAATTCGTAGTATACTTGATGATTATGTCATTAGACATTCGGAAATATGCTTTTTTCTTTCTAATGTATTTTTATACTTCGTTTTGGTTCCGTTGAATGATGTTTAAGTGTTGTTAATTGAATGGCGCAGGTGGCGGCGGCCCGCAACGGCGGTCGGTCCCCGCTGGGCGCGGCGGGCGGCGCGGAGGCGGGCGCGGGCGCGGGCGCGGGCGCGGGCGCGGGCGCGGCGCGCGCGTGCGTGTCCCCGCGCGTGCTGCACGCGCTGCGTGTCCGCGCGCGCCTGCTGCGCGCCACGCCGGCCGCCGCGCGCGCGCTCGCGCTGCACGCCGCCGACACCGCCACCGTCTACAGGCAGGTCCGTCGCTACACTTATTACTACTACCGCCGGTTAGGTACACCTGTGTCAACGGACAATTTGTCTTCTACAATTGTCTGTTGGCAGTCAATAGTCATAGGCATAATAGACTTATAACTAGACTAGACACACAATCATCCCCTCAATATCACATACCTCAGCCCTCGTCGCCTTCCCTCATGTCCCATCCGCCATCCCCCAACCCCCATCCTCTATCCTTCATCCCCCATCTTCCAATACCCCAACCCCCATTCTTCATTCCTCAATACCCTAGTCTAAAATAATTTATTTCCACAATATTAACAATTTCTTTCATCAAATTGACTACCGTCACACTTAAATTTTCTAACAAACTTTACAAATAAGTATGCTATTTAAAACAAAATTATGATGACATCGTTAATTATGTTGCGTTATTTTATATATATCATTATGTTCCGGTTCCTCGGACATAATGTCGGTGAATATGGGTATCGTATAAATAAAAAAAGCGTTTTGAATTCATCACTGAGTTTCTTATAATTACAAGGTACAGTAATTTGACATTAAGAAAGAAAAACCATTTATTTTGCTACGACACACAACAAGAATCTAGAAACCCAAAAAATAGCCCACGGTGCGTCGCAGCGCAAAAGGCTGGAGCTCAGCTTAATACCGTGGACCGGGCACAGAGGCTCGAGCCCACGGCGCTGATTTTCAGCATCAGCCCGTTGTAGTACGTACTAGTTACACCTACGGTAACGCTGATCGGAGCACAGCATGATGTATATAATGAATTAATATAAAAATGAAAACAAAACAAAATCAATAATAAGCAACGATTACTGCCAAAAATCTAAATAAATGGATACAAAATAAATAATTAAAATAATAACAAGAACAAAATTACATTATACATACATATTAATAACAATGGCACATAGTGAAAATAAATATAATTACATTAAAAAATAATAATGTTGGACGCATCACCATAGACAGTGAGTATCTTTACTTTGACATTTGCCTCAATGACATTGATAATATACTTTACCCAATCCAGAAGCGGCTGGACAAATCAAATAGGTAAACAAGTGCATGTGGTAATTAATGGCGCTCAGATTACGGAAACAAAACAACCGATTAGTTGTGCATAATGTTGTCGATATTGATCATATTTATTGTGAGTGGAACGTGAACAAGAACGTAAGCGAACCGTAGGGCAGTTCCATGACATCGTCTTCACTCGGTGGCGACTCGAACTGAAGTGAGCTCCGTCTCTGAGTCTGACGACACGACTCTGCCTAAGCGCACAAGAAATCCGCTAGGTAGCGCGCTTGCGTACCATTTACCGTCCGTACTTATAACCGGCTCCGACATAATACAAGGTGTAGTTTTGAAGCCGTGTCATTTCTCATGGACATGTCACAGAAGTCATAAAGGTTCAATGTAAGAGAAAGTTTCGGGCTTTTTAGTTCGACAGTATTTCAGAATAAGCGACAGCAATGTTTCTTATTGGAGTTTTATGGAATTAGGAATAATATCAATTACGTGTTTGAGTTTGTGTGTGTTAAGCCGCGTTATAAAGCTAGTTACAAGACGGCGGCGAGTACTTCGCACTTACGGATTTCCGTAATTTACAGATAAATGAAAAATATTTACCTAAAATTTTTTTTTATTGATTCGGACTCCTAGAAAATGACGCGGCTTTAAAACAACACCTTGTATAATTATTTTAACTCATACAAACGTATCATCATTGTAAGCTGTTGATGATGACATCAACAGCTTATAAGTGTCCAATGCTGAGCAAAGCCTCTTCTCACACTGAGAAGGTTTGAGCATTAATCACCACGCTTGCTCAATGCGAGGGCGATTTCAAACTTATTATTACAAATTACAAGTCCAGGTTTCCTCGCGATGTTTTCCTTTACCGTTTGTCAGTGGTGTCTAAATAATCTTAGAAAGTACATATAACTCGGAAAAGACACATTGGTACTTGCCGTTGGTAGGTTTTGAACATGCATGAGATGCGGGCGTCATAAACCTCCGGGCCTCCACGACGGTACGTGGCTCACTCCCTACAAATATGGACGATTGGAGCGATAGACCGCGCCCTGGTGATGGAGGCAGGATGCGCAGTAAATATATTTTGAAATATCGCATGACGTCACTTTTGAGTACGATTTATAATCTAAAATGACGTAGCTACCTCCAACTTCTAAACTTTGATTGGTTTTATCCAAGTATTGTTTTCTGTCGCGGAGAATCTAATGGGTTACCGGGGCTCCGGCTCGACGTGCAGGTGAAGGAACGGAGTAGTTTTTAGTCAGTAAGAGTCTGACACTCCCTCCCACCTCACGCGGGCGGGAGCAGTCATTCGATGATTTTCCCCCCTTAACAAAAAAAGTATTGTTTTCTTATACGAAAAAAAATACGTGTCTAATATCTTTACGTTACCTAACTGACGGACTAATTAGATTTTTAATTTTCATACACTGTCATCATCCTTATTATTGCTTTAACTAAACTGCAACATTTTATTGAAAGTGGGTTGATTAGGTAGCGTATACACTGTACAGCGTAGCTCTTACAATGAATATTCCGTTCTCATCTTAAGTCCAATCTTAAAATTGTGCCTCATAATACCGACTTCTTCTCCTATTCCTTCACCGTTTATGCTGTGAGACTGTGGAATTCTCTGCCGCCTAACATTCGAGACGCTAAATCTATAGCTCTCTTTAAAAAACTAATTAAGGACCATTACCTTTCTTCATGAGTACTGATACGTTTTTTTATTTCTATGTGTGTATTTTATTTATTGTTATTATTATATATTAAGTATTTATATTTATACTTTATTTATTTATAATATAGTTATTATTTAGCTTTAGTTTTTTTATACATATTTCTTATTTTTCTGTTACACACTGTGTCTTTTGTTTTAATTAGATTTCCTGTCTCAGGTCTACTGGAAGAAATTCCAACAGGAATAAGTAGCACCTTTGTACTCTTATTTTATATATGTGTTATCCTCTGAGCTGTCTGTGTGTACATAAATGATTAAATAAATAAATAAATAAATATTTTGGGAAAAATAATATTAAATATTATTTTCCACACCACATGAAAGTAGAACAAGCAGCGCTTTTTTTAGAGTTTGTTATACTTTATAGGTCTAACTAGCTGTTGCCCGCGACTTCGTCCGCGCAGAATGACTTCTGGCAGAATTTAGGCTTTTGAATTAGAATTTACCAAGGGACATTCCACGGTAACAAAAAAATGTCGTCAGACTTCATTCAGTACTTAGGTTATACTTATTGTGAAATGAATTTATTTTCGTGATTTCAAAAAATAAACAATCCCAACAATCAGGTTTCAACCCGTACAGAGCTCGCCTCGTGAGGTTTCAGTGATTAAAACTATTCTATCAAATGGATTCAGTGATTTAAAAGATACAGAGTGCCGGAATTTTAACGCATAACCCCGTTGCCATGTGATTTTCGTAATAAAGACTATCATACTTCGTTTCCTAGGTGTCAAACTATCGTTGTACCGAATTTTTACCCATTTCAAAAAAGGGGGAGGCACTATATTCGGATGATTGTTTTTTTTTGTTTGTTCACCAATTACTCCTCCATTTATAAACTGTTTTGTTTTGTTTGATTTTTATCAGGTTAGGATCTGATGATGGAATCATAGGAAAAAACCTTAATAGATACCTAATATTAAGCTGTTGACAATTTTGTGACTATTAAGTTATATCACCTAGCCTATAAGTTAACCCGATCTGTCAGTAATAATCATATAAAAATTTGAATTTGATCCATGCAGTAATTTTTAGATCATCCCGGACATATGTATGTACATACAGACAAACAGGTAAAAATTCTAAAGTTCATATTTTGGCTTCAGTATCGACTGTAGATCACACCCAAGTATTCTTTAAAAAAAATATTCAATGTCGGTACGATTTTGACATTTCTACGATTTTATTATATGTTTCGAAATGAATTTATCGTGATTTAAAAAAATAAATAAGGGATTTTATCAGTACAGTGCCTGTTCCCGTAAGATTTTAGTAATACAATGCATTCTATTGACTATTGTTGTACTGAATCTCTCTAAAATAAGATCAGCGGTTAAGAGATAGAGAGTCTGGCTTTAACGCATAGTTCCCATTCACGTGGGACTTCTGTGATAAAAACTATCGTACATCGTTTCTCAGGTCTCAAATTATCGTTTTACCGAATCTAACTTAAAAAGATTCAATGATTTTAGATTCATTCGCTAAGAAGATTTATACAAACTATCATGTCCTATTTTATTCTATTGGGGGTGGAATAAATTTATCAAATTCCTTTCTTAGCAGATGCCTACGTCATAGTCATGCAGAGTCTCAGCCCAATCAGTTTAAAATTTCATACAAACTTTCATCCCCAATTTTGTCTTCTTGGGGGTAGAATTGATCAAAATCTTTTTATAGCGGATGCTACGTCATAACATCTACCTGCATATCAAAATTCAACCCGATCAGTTTAAAACTGATGAAGTTCCTTACAAATTTTCATCCCCTATTTTATCCCATTAGGGGATGTAAATGATCAAAATCCTTGCATAACGGGTGTCTACATCATAACATCTAGCTGCATGCCAAATTTCAATTCGATCAGTGTAAAACTGACAAAGCTTCATACAATCTTTTATCTCCTATTTTACCCCATTGGGGGGTGGAAATTAAATTTGGCCTCCGGTAGCCTCACTCACACGATCTTCTGTTCGTTGCTGGTGACACTCCGGTCGAGCCGGCCCATTCGTGCCAAACCATGGCGAGCCCACACATAAAATGATACAGAAACTAACAAGAAACCTCGCGCAGAAGTTATAATTATACAATATTGAACAGAGTATCGACAAAAACCTCACCCAGAAGTTTAATACTGAATGAATACTGACGTAATGACTACAAAATAATCATGGCGTCCGCAGTATGACGCGTTTTCGCTAAATTTTAAATTATGATAAAATAATACATTTATATTCGTACATAACGCAAGAAGAAAAGGATATTTAATTTTTTAGAGGTATATTAGGGCTATAAAATTTATTTTAGATACATTTCAGAAATGCATTTGATAACCTATTAAGTAATGATACAAAAACTAACAAAAGACCTCGCTCAGAAGTTATAATTATACAATATTTGCACACAGTATCGACAAAAACCTCGCGCAGAAGTGAGGCATATACAATGTGTGGACATGAAGTCGCGATGTATATGATGAGAGAGTTAGGTGCTAGTAATTGGTACAGAGGAAATCTAGGTCAACATTAAAACATAAAATTATAGTTTTTGCTTTTTATTTAACTTATCAACTAATTGTTACAAAGTATACTTAACATATATTTTACAATCATTTCTTTATACATGACACAATCATACAAGACATACTGAATACATTAACAATAATAGTTGACTAACTTTTTATAGTAACTATCGTGAGACATAATAAATTAAAATTATTGTACAGAGGGGTTCTTCCTCATGACCAGCGTGCGCGGTCGCGGCTACCGCGTATAACCCGCGACTTTTAGTTAATCCAGTCAGTTGACTGACTGAAACCGGTATAGAATTTTCTCTCTTTCTCTTCTTTTTAATAAATCTTGCCCCACACTAGGATTTCCTCTTGTGTCGTGAGTCCGTTTACAAACATACAATATCACATAAGCATGACACCCAGACCAGGAACAACAATTGGGTACTTGCCGTTGGTAGGTTTTGAACATGCGTGAGATGCGGACGTCATAAACCTCCGGGCCACCACGACGGTACATGACTTACTCCCTACAAATATGGACGATTAGGGCGATAGACCGTGCCCTGGTGACGGAGGTAGGATGCGCAGTAAATATGATCAACTAAATCTCTCGGCTGGTTATAGCTTGCCCACGGTGTAGCATCTACCAAATCAATTAAGAAATTAATAGAATTACCTGTGAATACCAAACCACATATGCGTAAGTCCCATACTCGGCCTAAGGTATGTTCATTCATATAGTTCATGGCTTCATCAGTCCAAGTGCCTCCCTCGGGGTTTAAGTTATAAAACGAACATGCCTGAGCTAGGGCAGGTATGTGCCGCGTCGGCGTGCCTTTCCGTAGGTCCTCAAAGGCATGTTCGTTTATGTTGCCGTAATCAATGTACCCAACAGTACACGTGCTGTTTTCTGTATCCACTGCCATGATTATTGATCTTAAATACAGACTCCTTCTGCTATCGTAGACGACGCATGACTCTCCCGGTGTCCAGTCAGTTATTGTTGCGTTCGGTGAGTAGTCCTTGTAATACTCGGCGAGTATTAGAGTTATGGGTATCAGCTGTTGTTCCTGTACTATATCGCGCACGTAAATTGTGCCGTCCCGATCCACACACCTGGAGAAAATAAATAAATATTATTAAACAAGTAATGCATAAAAACTATATACTATATTGACTGCATCGTTGGCCGAGTGGTCGCAAGTGCGACTACCGGTAAATATTACTGGGCTTAAAAATAAAATCTTAGTGGTATCACGGAATCTGGAATTGTGTCCGGTGTATGGCAATATGCTAACCCCCTATTACATGAGACCACCAGGTGATCCGATTGCTTACCATCAGGTGATCCGTCAGCTCGTTCACAGGCTTATCCGATAAAAAAACTTACGTGGTGATTCCAATAAACCTGTGGCCCTCGGGAGGTTCTGGTGGCAGCCAGTTATTGGTGGAAGAACTGGGATCTTGTTCACCACTGTTGCCACCTTCCCGCACCATGGCCGACATAACTTCATACGCATCATAAAACTCTTGTTCGTCTTCTGAATTTTCTTCTTCAGTGAAATCCTGGAGGCAAATAAATGAGATGCAATTAAAACATTATTTCGACATTTCTATACAATAATAGTCTAAAACAGTTTCATTATCCTTCACCGTTAGTCAGTAGTGTCTAAATAATCCTAGAAAGTACATATAACTCGGAAAAAATCACATTGTTATTATCAGGTTTCGAATCCTCGGACATGAGAAGTGGGCGTCTTAACCCCCAGCCACCATGACACATAAAAATAATTATAGATGAAATATTAAAATATAATTGTTACTTACATCTTCCAGTATGCCAATATCTTCCAGCGGCAATTGATTCTCGACCTCCGCGTCCTCAAATAAGTGAATTCTCTCCAATATCATTTCTGCAAGAAAAATACTTATTAAAATGTATACTGTCTCATTGGCCGAGTGGTCGCGAGTGCGACTGTCGGGCAAGGGGTCTCGATTCCCAGGTCGGGCAAAATATTACTGGGTTTTAAAAAAATCTCGAAGTCTGAAATTGTGCCCGGTATATGGCAATAGGCTCACCCCCTATTACATTGGACTCATAACATAAATAGTGAATAGAGGGTGATACATTGTACAGTGGCATTAAATGTCGTAATATTCACCTCTGCCTACTCCTTCGGCGATAAAAGGCGTTATGGTATGATGCTATCAAACTTTATACTTGTGATATATTCACCGTGTTAGACTGGGCTTATATTGCTCTTTACTTACTGTAATTAGTCTTTCATTTCTTTTATACACAAATGTGTCATTAAATATTATTTATAATGACGCGATTACTTATATATTATCATTAAATACATAATTACAAAATTACATTTAATTAAGGTAATTTTCAGGTGTAATGGTTTTAGTTTTTAATTATTTATATTCATAATATTAATTTTAGTTTAATCATATAGGTAATATTTCTAATGTAAATATTGAAATTATGTAGTTTATGTAATTATATTTCATTTACTAATGTAATTTAAAGTATTAAATAAAACAGTAGGGAGTGTTACTAGATAGACAATTTTTGTCTGTCTGTCTGTCTGTATGTATGTTCACGCATTACGCAAAAACCACCGGTCCGATTTGAATCAAACTTGGTATGATTATACTTTAATATCCTGGGTACAACACTGGGTACTTTGGCACTGGGATGAAATTTGGACCAGAGGCAGAAGCTAATAGATAATATTATTATAACGACTTACCGAAATATGTTGTTCTCCTCGCAGTTTGGTCGGAAAGAGTGATTCTGGTTACGTCCACCTTGGAAGCGACTCAGGAACTGACTGACCTACTGACTGCTTTCAGCTTATCTAAGTGCACTCTCTACACAATGAAAAAATACCATAATACCACGCTACTTGTATTAAAATAACATTTTGAATGGGGTGGTCGTTAAGGCATCATCCGAATCTTTTGTTTATAGAACAATAATGTCTTGTAGAACAGAGGGATGGGTAGAACCATTTTGACCATTTAAAGATCAAAGGTTAGTCTTTTTGTTAAACAAAAGGATCTGTTGTATTGAAGGTTTAAAAATAAGAACATTTATCTACACGTAGTTTGATAGTAATTATAAAGAATAGTCCCGCATACATCGCCTACTGCTTTTGGCGTGCAAAGTTAAATGTTATAATAATAATAGACTTAAATGCCGTACGATGATAATCGATGTCACCAACCCCCAAGACGAGCACCTCGAGAAAGTTGAGAAAGATAAACAAATTAAATAACTAGACTTAGCTCACGAGGTTGTCGACATGTGAAGTGTGGATTCAGCTATCATAATGATACCAATAGGTTAAAACCCTAAAAGCCTCGACATTTATCTCAGGCGGCTGGCGTCACGTGAAAAGATAAAGGGCCTGATACAGAAGGCAATTTTCCTTGAAACGGCACGTATCGTGAGGAGGTTTCTGTATCCGGTAATCCTACAGAGACAGGAACAATGCATTAAAATCCTGGAACTTTATCTCATCAACCGCTGAAACTATATGAGGGAAATGCAGTATAACGATAGTTTGATATCTAGGAACGTGTGTAAGATAGTTTTCATCACAGTAATCTCACGAGACCGGGAACTATGCGGTAACATAGCGTTAGATAAGTGGGCCTCCGGTAACCTTACTCACACGACGAAATACAACGCTGTGGTTGTTTCACGTCGGTTTTCTGCTCGTTGGTGGTATTACTCCGGTCGAGACGGCCCAGCAGTGCGGAAGCATGGCTCTTCCACACTTATACAAAAACTAACTAAAAACCTCGCGCAGAAGTTATAATTATACAATATTGGACACAGTAGCGACAAAAACCTCGCCCAGAAGTCACGATGTAGAATCTACATCGTGACTTCTGGGCGAGGTTTTTGTTAGTTTTTGCATCATCTACATTGTATATGATGAGTGAGTTACAAGTAACTGGTACAGAGGAAATCTAGGTCAACATTAAAACATAAAATTATAGTTTTTGATTTTTATTTAACTTATCAACTAATTGTTAGAAAGTATACTTAACATATATTTTACAATCATTTCTTTATACATGACACAATCATACAAGACATACTGAATACGTTAACAATAACAGTTGACTAACTTTTTACATTAACTATCGTGAGACACTAAATTGAATAAAACTCGCGGGTTACTCACGTGAATATACTGAGTAAAGCTCTACTAGTTTGGAACTACAGAGGGGTTCTTCCTCATGACCAGCGTGCGCGGTCGCGGCTACCGCGTATAACCCGCGACTTTTAGTTAATCCAGTCAGTTGACTGACTGAAACCGGTATAGAATTTTCTCTCTTTTTCTTCTTTTTAATAAATCTTGCCCCACACTAGGATTTCCTCTTGTGTCGTGAGTCCGTTTACAAACATACAATATCACATAAGCATGACACCCAGACCAGGAACAACAATTGGGTACTTGCCGTTGGTAGGTTTTGAACATGCGTGAGATGCGGGCGTCATAAACCTCCGGGCCACCACGACGGTACATGACTTACTCCCTACAAATATGGACGATTAGGGCGATAGACCGTGCCCTGGTGACGGAGGTAGGATGCGCAGTAAATATGATCAACTAAATCTCTCGGCTGGTTATAGCTTGCCCACGGTGTAGCATCTACCAAATCAATTAAGAAATTAATAGAATTACCGGTGAATACCAAACCACATATGCGTAAGTCCCATACTCGGCCTAAGGTATGTTCATTCATATAGTCCATGGCTTCATCAGTCCAAGTGCCTCCCTCGGGCCTTAAGTTATAAAACGAACATGCCTGAGCTAGGGCAGGTATGTGCCGCGTCGGCGTGCCTTTCCGTAGGTCCTCAAAGGCATGTTCGTTTATGTTGCCGTAATCAATGTACCCAACAGTACACGTGCTGTTTTCTGTATCCACTGCCATGATTATTGATCTTAAATAGAGACTCCTTCTGCTATCGTAGACGACGCATGACTCTCCCGGTGTCCAGTCAGTTATTGTTGCGTTCGGTGAGTAGTCCTTGTAATAGTCGGCGAGTATTAGAGTTATGGGTATCAGCTGTTGTTCCTGCGCTACATCGCGCACGTAAATTGTGCCGTCCCGATCCACACACCTGGAGAAAATAAATAAATATTATTAAACAAGTAATGCATAAAAATATACTATATTGACTGCATCGTTGGCCGAGTGGTCGCAAGTGCGACTACCGGTAAATATTACTGGGTTTAAAAATAAAATCTTAGTGGTATCACGGAGTCTGGAATTGTGTCCGGTATATGGCAATAGGCTAAACCCCTATTACATGGGACCATCAGGTGATCCGATTGCTTACCATCAGGTGATCCGTCAGCTCGTTTACAGGCTTATCCGATAAAAAATACTTACGTGGTGATTCCAATAAACCTGTGGCCCTCGGGAGGTTCTGGTGGCAGCCAGTTATTGGTGGAAGAACTGGGATCTTGTTCACCATTGCTGCCACCTTCCCGCACCATGGCCGACATAACTTCATACGCATCATAAAACTCTTGTTCGTCTTCTGAATTTTCTTCTTCAGTGAAATCCTGGATGCAAATAAATGAGATACAATTAAAACATTATTTCGACATTTCTATACAATAATAGTCTAAAACAGTTTTATTTTCCTTCACCGTTTGTCAGTGGTATCTAAATAATCCTAGAAAGTACATATAAAGTCGGAAAAAATCACATTGTTATGTCCTCGGACATGAGAAGTGGGCGGCTTAACCCCCAGCCACCATGACACATAAAAATAATTATAGATGAAATATTAAAATTGTAATTGTTACTTACATCTTCCAGTATGCCAATATCTTGCAGCGGGAATTGATCCTCGACCTCCGCGTCCTCAAATAAGTGAATTCTCTCCAATATCATTTCTGCAAGAAAAATACTTATTAAAATGTATACTGTCTCATTGGCCGAGTGGTCGCGAGTGCGACTGTCGGGCAAGGGGTCTCGATTCCCAGGTCGGGCAAAATATTACTGGGTTTTAAAAAAATCTCGAAGTCTGAAATTGTGCCCGGTATATGGCAATAGGCTCACCCCCTATTACATTGGACTCATAACATAAATAGTGAATAGAGGTGATATTGTGCAGTGGCATTAAGTGTCGTAATATTCACCTCTGCCTACTCCTTCGGCGATAAAAGGCGTTATGGTATGATGCTATCAAACTTTATACTTGTGATATATTCACCGTGTTAGACTGGGCTTATATTGCTCTTTACCTACTGTAATTAGTCTTTCATTTCTTTTATACACAAATGTGTCATTAAATATTATTTATAATGTCGCGGTTACTAATATATTATTATTAAGTACATAATTACAAAATTACATTTAATTAAGGTAATTTTCAGGTGTAATGGTTTTAGTTTTTAATTATTTATATTCATAATATTAATTTTAGTTTAATCATATAGGTAATATTTCCAATGTAAATATTGAAATTATGTAGTTTATGTAATTATATTTCATTTACTAATGTAATTTAAAGTATTAAATAAAACAGTAGGGAGTGTTACTAGATAGACAATTTTTGTCTGTCTGTCTGTCTGTCTGTATGTACGTTCACGCGTTACGCAAAAACCACCGGTCCGATTTGAATCAAACTTGGTATGATTATACTTTAATACCTTAAGCACAACACTAGGTACCTGGACACTGGGATGAAATTTGGAACAGAGGCAGAAGCTAATAGATAATATAACGACTTACCGAAATATGTTGTTCTCCTCGCAGTTTGGTAGGAAAGAGTGATTCTGGTTACGTCCACCTTGGAAGCGACTCACGAACTGACTGACCGACTGACTGCTTTCAGCTTATCTAAGTGCACTCTCTACACAATGAAAAAATACCATAATACCACGCTACTTGTATTAAAATAACATTGTGAATGGGGTGGTCGTTAAGGCATCATCCGAATCCTTTGTCTATAGAACAATAATGTCTTGTAGAACAGAGGGATGGGTAGAACCATTTTGACCATTTAAAGATCAAAGGTTAGTCTTTTTGTTAAACAAAAGGATCTGTTGTATTGAAGGTTTAAAAATAAGAACATTTATCTACACGTAGTTTGATAGTAATTATAAAGAATAGTCCCGCATACATCGCCTACTGCTTTTGGCGTGCAAGGTTAAATGTTATAATAATAATAGACTTAAATGCCGTACGATGATAATCGATGTCACCATCCCCCAAGACGAGCACCTCGTGAAAGTTGAGAAAGATAAACAAATAAAATAGTATCTAGACTTAGCTCACGAGGTTGTCGACATGTGGAGTGTGGATTCATCTATCATTATGATACCAATAGGTTAAAACCCTAAAAGCCTCGACATTTATCTCAAGCGGCTGGTGTCACGTGAAATTTTTTTATTTTTTATTTATTTATTTATATCATTAAAATACAATAATACTATAATATCTACTACAATTTTAACTTAAAATACTATAAATACATAAAGTAAGTAAGAAATTAAAAACACTAATTATTTATTTATTAAAACTTTATTGCACATACAGTCAAATTGGCGGACTTAATGCCGTAGGCATTTTCTGACAGTCGACCATTGGGTGGTGCAGAATGTTAAAGCGGTAGGTGCAAAATTGTAAAAAGAAAGTATGAAGTAGATAACGAAGTTAAGGTAATAAAATATTAAAGAGGGAAGACCATGATTGTCGAGGCTTCGACATTTATCTCAGGCGGCTGGTGTCACGTGAAAATTTTTTATATTTATTTATATCAGGCAACGAAGGCCCATATTTAAATACAATAATACTATAATATCTACTACAATTTTAACTTAAAATACTATAAATACATAAAGTAAGTAAGAAATTAAAAACACTAATTATCACGACTATTATGCTGTGTCGACGTCGTGTGCTGTGCGGTGTCAGGTATCCGGCCGCGGAATCGCCGGAAAACAACACCTTTCGGGTTTTTCACCAACTCGACACGAGGAACTGATCACACGTGTGTCCAGTTGGTGAAACTTTAAATTAGCACTAATTATTCTTTCGTCATTTGGACACGCCAAGGTTTTTATGTATGTCCACATAGTGAAAATTAAAATTAATTACTTTTATGTTATCGTCAACTGGACACACCTATATTTTTTTTCTAAAAAAGGTACAGTTAAGTTAAAAATTGTTTCGGTTTTAAGACAAATTTTGAAATAAAACAAATGAGTAACAATCATATATTTATATTAGAGTTAGACTCAAAGACTGTAATAAAACAGGTTCCATGTTGAAGATTTGACAAGCATAGTACTCGTAACATGGTAATAGCGACTTTCAAACACTTTCGGTGTCAAAAATATATTTTTTACAAATTCACAAATGGTGAATAATTACAAAATTACCCGGTGAAATTACTAGGTGGGACGTTTAGAGGACAACGATGATTGTGATTCAAAAATATTATCTGCGTGACTGTACTTTGTTATACATTCGGGTAAAATGTGAACGTGTGTCCAGTTGACGAAAACACAAAAGTAACTTAATTTGATTTTCACTATGTGGACATACATAAAAACCTTGGCGTGTCCAAATGACGAAAGAATAATTAGTGCTAATTTAAAGTTTCACCAACTGGACACACGTGTGATCAGTTCCTCGTGTCGAGTTGGTGAAAAACCCCACCTTTCGGCCAAAACTCTGGTGTCATGAATTTCGGTAAATCCACGGAAGGCACCCTCACCACAAATGAATTGAAATCAAGAAAAGATCAAGGGCTGTCACAGAAATCTCCTCACGTATCGTGAGGAGGTTTCTCACCGGTGTCCGTACATCTATTGTTCTATAATTGTGTCTTTAATGACGTACTCAAAGGGTTAAGAATCACTATTAAAAACAAACCGCATCAAAATCCGTTGCGTAGTTTTAAAGATCTAAGCATACATAGGGACAGACACACGGGTCAGAGCCCATTCGTCCCCTAAAATTCGTCCCCCAGCATAAAAGTTGTGGATTCGGCCCCTATATAGGTGCCCATTGGTCTCCTGGTAGGGGACCAATTAATATTTAATAAAAAAATATTATTTTTAAGGTACCCATTCGTCCCCTCTAATATAATACATAATAAGTTAAAGATTCGGCACCTATTCAGGTGCCTATTGGTCCCCTGAGATAAAATAAGCTAAATTTTACACAAGAAACGGTTAACATAGTACACTTGTGAACAGTTTATTAACGGAATTAGTTTAATAAATCATAACAGATCATTGAAAAAAGAGCTATGATGATTGATAATAATATAACCTGTCGATAGGCCTACGATGCAATATTGTCTCTCTACGAATGGCTTTTTAAAAAACGGGGTACAAAATTGATAAGGTGTTTTATTTGTATGTTATGGCTGCCTCGGTGACATATTGGTTCTTGAAAGTGACTACGAATACGAGACTTCAATGTGTCTTTGGTCTTTTTTATATTAAATGATGTTCTTTTTTTATATTTTTTCTATATATCTTTTTTTTTATATCTTTTTTTATTTTTTTTATTTTTTTATATCTTTTATATTAAATGATATAGTAAATGTTGTTTTATACCTACATTTCTTTTATACAAAGTTATTGTGATATTGCATTATTTCGTAGATCTCTTTGGCTGTACAAAGTACTAACAATTCATAGTTATTTTTCTTATATTCGTATTGATATTTGGTTATTTGTTCGTACTCTGGATTTAAATTAATCTAATATTCAGTTATTACTGGGATTTTATTTAAATAGTTACACAGTTTTATTTTACTGCATAAACATATTATAGTTGTCACATATTTTGCTAAATATTTACAAATGTACCAGACACCAAAAACTGATAACTTATTTTGAAGACTGACTTAATGCCTAGAGCCTAGAGGTTATTTATTAAACTTAAACTTATTTAAAATAAACATGATATCTACCAAATTACTATATGTTTTTATTTTACCCTTTTCTGCGCGACTGTACCAGGACTACCAAGCTGCAGTATACATATATACATGTACTTATATTAGAAGAACGAATAAAAATAAATATTCTTCAGGGGACGAATAGGCCTCTCAAAAGTTCCAGGGGACGAGTGGGCACAGGGTGCGAATCTTAGGGGACGAATGGGCTCTGACCCACACGGCGGATAGCGACTTTGTTTTATACTATGTAGTGATTGGACACATTATTGACCAAAACCTCGCCCAGAAGTTATAGTTAGACAATATTGGACACAGTATTGACAAAAACCTCGCGCAGAAGTTAGGCATATACAACGTGTGGACATGTTTCGTAAGACGAATGAAGTCACGATGTACACGATGAGTGAGTTACAAGTAACTGGTACAGAGGAAATCTAGGTCAACATTAAAACATAAAATTATAGTTTTTGGTTTTTATTTAACTTATCAACTAATTGTTACAAAGTATACTTAACATATATTTTTACAATCATTTCTTTATACATGACACAATCATACAAGACATACTGAATACATTAACAATAACAGTTGACTAACTTTTTACATTGACTATCGTGAGACACTAAATTGACTAAAACTCGCGGGTTACTCACGTGAATATACTGAGAAAAGCTCTACTAGTTTGTAACTACAGAGGGGTTCTTCCTCATGACCAGCGTGCGCGGTCGCGGCTACCGCGTATAACCCGCGACTTTTAGTTAATCCAGTCAGTTAACTGACTGAAACCGGTATAGAATTTTCTCTCTTTCTTTTCTTTTTAATAAATCTTGCCCCACACTAGGATTTCCTCTTGTGTCGTGAGTCCGTTTACAAACATACAATATCACATAAGCATGACACCCAGACCAGGAACAACAATTGGGTACTTGCCGTTGGTAGGTTTTGAACATGCATGAGATGCGGGCGTCATAAACCTCCGGGCCACCACGACGGTACATGGCTCACTCCCTACAAATATGGACGATTAGAGCGATAGACCGTGCCCTGGTGACGGAGGTAGGATGCGCAGTAAATATGATCAACTAAATCTCTCGGCTGGTTATAGCTTGCCCACGGTGTAGCATCTACCAAATCAATTAAGAAATTAATAGAATTACCTGTGAATACCAAACCACATATGCGTAGGTCACATACTCGGCCTAAGATATGTTCATTCATATAGTCCATGGCTTCATCAGTCCAAGTGCCTCCCTCGGGCCTTAAGTTATAAAACGAACATGCCTGAGCTAGGGCAGGTATGTGCCGCGTCGGCGTGCCTTTCCGTAGGTCCTCAAAGGCATGTTCGTTTATGTTGCCGTAATCAATGTACCCAACAGTACACGTGCTGTTTTCTGTATCCACTGTCATGATTATTGATCTTAAATACAGACTCCTTCTGCTATCGTAGACGACGCATGACTCTCCCGGTGTCCAGTCAGTTATTGTTGCGTTCGGTGAGTAGTCCTTGTAATAGTCGGCGAGTATTAGAGTTATGGGTATCAGCTGTTGTTCCTGTACTATATCGCGCACGTAAATTGTGCCGTCCCGATCCACACACCTTGAGAAAATAAATAAAAATTATTAAACAAGTAATGCATAAAAATATACTATATTGACTCCATCGTTGGCCGAGTGGTCGCAAGTGCGACTACCGGTAAATATTACTGGGTTTAAAAATAAAATCTTAGTGGTATCACGGAATCTGGAATTGTGTCCGGTGTATGGCAATAGGCTAACCCCCTATTACATGAGACCACCAGGTGATCCGATTGCTTACCATCCGGTGATCCGTCAGCTCGTTTACAGGCTTATCCGATAAAAAAAACTTACGTGGTGATTCCAATAAACCTGTGGCCCTCGGGAGGTTCTGGTGGCAGCCAGTTATTGGTGGAAGAACTGGGATCTTGTTCACCACTGTTGCCACCTTCCCGCACCATGGCCGACATAACTTCATACGCATCATAAAACTCTTGTTCGTCTTCTGAATTTTCTTCTTCAGTGAAATCCTGGATGCAAACAAATAAGATGCAATTAAAACGTTATTTCGACATTTCTATACAATAATAGTCTAAAACAGTTTCATTTTCCTTCACCGTTTGTCAGTGGTATCTAAATAATCCTAGAAAGTACATATAAAGTCGGAAAAAATCACATTGTTATTACCAAGTTTCGAATCCTCGGACATGAGAAGTGGGCGTCTTAACCCCCAGCCACCATGTCACATAAAAATAATTATAGATGAAATATTAAAATTATAATTGTTACTTACATCTTCCAGTATGCCAATATCTTGCAGCGGGAATTGATCCTCGACCTCCGCGTCCTCAAATAAGTGAATTCTCTCCAATATCATTTCTGCAAGAAAAATACTTATTAAAATGTATACTGTCTCATTGGCCGAGTGGTCGCGAGTGCGACTGTCGGGCAAGGGGTCTCGATTCCCAGGTCGGGCAAAATATTACTGGGTTTTAAAAAATCTCGAAGTCTGAAATTGTGCCCGGTATATAGCAATAGGCTCACCCCTATTACATGGGACTCATAACGTAAATAGTGAAAAGTAGGTGTTACATTGTACAGTGGCATTAATTTATGGTATGATGATGATATTAAGGTTTATAATTATGATAATATTCACCGTGTTAGACTGGGCTTATATACTCTTTACTTACTATAATTAGTCTTTCATTTCTTTTATACACAAATGTGTCATTAAATATTATTTCTAATAATGAATTATCATTAAGTACATAATTACAAAATTACATTCAATTAAGGTAATTTTCAGGTGTAATGATTTTAGTTTTTAATAAATAATAAAAAAATAATAAATAATTAAATAATTTTAGTTTAATCATATAGGTAATATTTCTAATGTTAATATTGAAATTATGTAGTTTATGTAATTATATTTCATTTACTAATGTAATTTAAAGTATTAAATAAAACAGTAGGGAGTGTTACTAGATAGACAATTTTTGTCTGTCTGTCTGTCTGTATGTATGTTCACGCATAACGCAAAAACCACCGGTCCGATTTGAATCAAACTTGGTATGATTATACTTTAATATCCTGGGTACAACACTGGGAACTTTGGCACTGGGATGAAATTTGGAACAGAGGCAGAAGCTAATAGATAATATAACGACTTACCGAAATATGTTGTTCTCCTCGCAGTTTGGTCGGAAAGAGTGATTCTGGTTACGTCCACCTTGGAAGCGACTCACGAACTGACTGACCGACTGACTGCTTTCAGCTTATCTAAGTGCACTCTCTACACAATGAAAAAATACCATAATACCACGCTACTTGTATTAAAATAACATTTTGAATGGGGTGGTCGTTAAGGCATCATCCGAATCTTTTGTTTATAGAACAATAATGTCTTGGTGATAATCGATGTCACCATCCCCAAGACGAGCACCTCGTGAAAGTTGAGAAAGATAAACAAATAAAAAAGTATCTAGACTTAGCTCACGAGGTTGTCGACATGTGGAGTGTGGATTCAGCTATCATAATGATACCAATAGGTTAAAACCCTAAAAGCCTCGACACTCGTCACGTGAAAAGATCAAGGGCCTGATACAGAAAGCAATTTTCCTTGAAACGGCACGTATCGTGCGGAGGTTTCTGTATCCGGTAATCCTACAGAGACAGAAACAATGCATTAAAATTCCGGGACTTTATCTCATCAACCACTGAAACTATAAGAGGGAAATTCAGTATCACGATAGTTTGAGATCTGGGAACGTGCGTAACACGGTTTTCATCACAAAAATCTCACGACACCGGGAACTATGCGGTAACATAGCGTTAGATAAGTGGGCCTCCGGTAACCTTACTCACACGATGAAATACAACGCTTTGGTTGTTTCACGTTGGATTTCTGCTCGTTGGTGCTATCACTCCGGTCCAGACGGCCCAGCAGTGTCGTAGCATGGCTCTTCCACACTTAAAATGATACAAAAACTAACAAAAAACCTCGCGCAGAAGTTATAATTATACAATATTGGCCACAGTATCGACAAAAACCTCGCCCAGAAGTTATAATTATACAATATTGGCCAGAGTATCGACAAAAACCTCGCGCAGAAGTTATAATTATACAATATTGGTCACAGTATCGACAAAAACCTCGCCCAGAAGTTAGGCATATACAATGTGTGATCATGAAGTCGCGATGTATATGATGAGAGAGTTAGGTGTTAGTAACTGGTACAGAGGAAATCTAGGTCAACATTAAAACATAAAATTATAGTTTTTGATTTTTATTTAACTTATCAACTAATTGTTACAATGTATACTTAACATATATTTTTACAATCATTTCTTTATACATGACACAATCATACAAGACATACTGAATACATTAACAATAACAGTTGACTAACTTTTTATAGTAACTATCGTGAGACACTAAATTAACTAAAACTCGCGGGTTACTCACGTGAATATACTGAGAAAAGCTCTACTAGTTTGGAACTACAGAGGGGTTCTTCCTCATGACCAGCGTGCGCGGTCGCGGCGACCGCGTATAACCCGCGACTTTTAGTTAATCCAGTCAGTTGACTGACTGAAACCGGTATAGAATTTTCTCTCTTTCTCTTCTTTTTAATAAATCTTGCCCCACACTAGGATTTCCTCTTGTGTCGTGAGTCCGTTTACAAACATACAATATCACATAAGCATGACACCCAGACCAGGAACAACAATTGGGTACTTGCCGTTGGTAGGTTTTGAACATGCATGCATTCAGCTTATCTAAGTGCACTCTCTACTCAATGAAAAAATACCATAATACCACGCTACTTGTATTAAAATAACATTTTGAATGGGGTGGTCGTTAAGACATATCATCCGAATCCTTTGTCTATAGAACAATAATGTCTTGTAGAACAGAGGGATGGGTAGAACCACTTTGACCATTTAAAGATCAAAGGTTAGTCTTTTTGTTAAACAAAAGGATATGTAGTATTGAAGGTTTAAAAATAAGAACATTTATCTACACGTAGTTTGATAGTAATTATAAAGAATAGTCCCGCATACATCGCCTACTGCTTTTGGCAAAGTTAAATGTTATAATAATAATAGACTTAAATGCCGTACGATGATAATCGATGTCACCAACCCCCAAGACGAGCACCTCGTGAAAGTTGAGAAAGATAAACAAATATAATAGTATCTAGACTTAGCTCACGAGGTTTTCGACATGTGGAGTGTGGATTCATCTATCATAATGATACCAATAGGTTAAAACCCTAAAAGCCTCGACATTTATCTCAGGCGGCTGGCATCACGTGAATTTTTTTTATTTTTTATTTATTTTTTTATATCAGGCAACGAAGACCCATATTAAAATACAATAATACTATAATATCTACTACAATTTTAACTTAAATACTATAAATACATAAAGTAAGTAAGAAATTAAAAACACTAATTATCACGACTATTATGCTGTGTCGACGTCGTGTGCTGCGCGGTGTCAGGTATCCGGCCGCGGAATCGCCGGAAAATAACACCTTTCGGCCAAAACTCTGGTGTCATGAATTTCGGTAAATCCACGGAAGGCACTCTCACCACAAATGAATTGAAATCAAGAAAAGATCAAGGGCCGTCACAGAAATCTCCTCACGTATCGTGAGGAGGTTTCTCACCGGTGTCCGTACATCTATTGTTCTATAATTGTGTCTTTAATGACGTACTCAAAGGGTTAAGAATCACTATTAAAGATCTAAGCATACATAGGGACAGACAGACGGCGGATAGCGACTTTGTTTTATACTATGTAGTGATTGGACACATTATTGACCAATACCTAGCGCAGAAGTTATAATTATACAATATTGGCCACAGTATCGACAAAAACCTCGCCCAGAAGTCACGATGTACACGATGAGTGAGTTACAAGTAACTGGTACAGAGGAAATCTAGGTCAACATTAAAACATAAAATTATAGTTTTTGGTTTTTATTTAACTTATCAACTAATTGTTACAAAGTATACTTGACATATATTTTTACAATCATTTCTTTATACATGACACAATCATACAAGACATACTGAATACATTGACGATAAAAGATGACTGACTGAAACCCGTATAGAATTCTTTCTTTTTTTCTTCTTTTTAATAAACGTTTCCCCAATCTAGGATTTCCTCCTGTTTCGTGTGTACGAGGACGTTTACAAACATACAAGTTCACATACACATGACACATAGACCCAGACACCCAGACAGTTTTCTATGCATTTTGTACGAGATTGTGTATTGTGACGTCACGTTTTTTAAGCGTCAAACAGCATAGTAATTTCTTAAAAATTTGCTGGAAAAATGCTAAAATGAAGTTGGTCAAGAGAATATTGATACTCAATTGTGTATCGTGGTCAACCGCCTATAAGTGGCCACTGCTGACCAAAGACCTCTTCTCACACGGAGAAGGTTTTGAGCATTAATCACCACGCTTCGTCTGCGGAGGCGACTTTTAACTTATAATTAAAAATTACAAGCCCAGGTTTTCTCACGATGTTTTCCTTCACTGTTTGCAAGTGGTGTCTAAA